CCCGGCTGCCTCCTACGAAGTCCTGGCACCTAACCTTGTCCCCGGCATCTGGGACTCCGGGGCTGTGCCGGCCCGGCCTCCCCTGATCGCTGTGCCTCCTTGCCTCCACAGCTCTTCATAGGGTTTGGCTTCCCCTATGAGGGCCCCGCCCCGCTGGAGGCCATCGCCAACGGCTGCGTCTTCCTGCAGTCCCGTTTCAGCCCCCCCCACAGCTCCCTCAACCACGAGTTCTTCCGTGGCAAACCCACCTCCAGAGAGGTGAGTGGAAGCACCTGGCCCCAGCTCAGAGCGCCTGGGACGGAGACCCTTGTAGTTCCGGGAAGAGGGAGACCGGGGCCCAGGGCCAAGGGGCAGATGGGACATACGGGTGGGGCTGGCAGGCATGAGGAGAAGCTGCCCATCTCTGTGCCCTGGCCAGGTGTTCTCCCAGCACCCCTACGCGGAGAACTTCATTGGCAAGCCCCACGTGTGGACTGTGGACTACAACAACTCGGAGGAGTTTGAAGCAGCCATTAAGGCCATCATGAGAACTCAGGTGAGAACAGTGAGGACGCCGCCCACCCACACCGTGGGTCTTCGTTATGATTAGAAAATGGTGCCCCTCTGGGCAAATTCAGACTTGCAAGCCTGGGTTGGCGAAGCAGTCATGCCTTCCCTGGTCAGGGCATGTGGACTGGAGGGTGGAACAGCGGTCCTCCTCACTGACTCAGGTGTGCAAGTGCAGAGATTGCCTTTGTGCGGCAAGCAACCTGCACAACTTTACGTGGCAGCCGTGGTCCTGGAATCATTTATTGAGCCTCTTCAAGGGCCAGGTGCTAAGTGTTTCCAGGATGAATGTGTGAAGGTTCTTTGAACTCTGCCGCAGGTTTGGGTCTGCAGCCTTTCAGCAGCACATCTCAAACTATAATGTGCCCACAGGTCACCTGGGGATCTTGTTAAAAATGCAACTAATCTCCTGCATTTCTAGAGGCCTGGGTGGTACCCATGGTACTGTCTCCTGGGAGCCACACTTGGAGGAGAAGGGATAGAACACCTGGGTCTTCTTAGAGAGTGTGTGAGGGTGCCTGTGTGTGGCTTGGGTGAGAGTGCGGGGGCATTTGTGCTTGATAAATCTTATCTCTAGGGCCAGCTATGGTGGCTCACACATGTAATCCCAGCACTTTGGGAAGCTGAGGCAGGAAGATTGCTTGAGCCCAAGGGGTCCAGATTGGCCTAGGCAACATAGTGAGACCTCCTCTCTACAAAAAAAAAAAAAAAAAATTAGCTGGGTATGGTGGGGTGCACCTGTAGCTGCTCGGGAGGCTGAGGTGGGAGGATCACCTGAACCCAGGTGATTGAGACTGCAGCGGGTACCTCTGTGGCTTTTGATCGCACTTTGGGCTCTGCTGGCTCCTTCATTCTGGGAAGCGTCAGACCCGGTGGATGGCGCTCCTCTCGCCGCCATCCTTCTGGACCCACGTTCTGCTGTCGCTCAGAACCAGGCTGAGCTGAAATAACCACCCCTACCCGGTGGCCCCTTTCCAGCCCAGGACCACCCTCGTGGAGAGTGCCCTTCCGGAGGGGTGTGCTTGGGGCGAACCTGTGGGTCTGTGGCAGACCCTTGATTGCAGCAGGGATCACCACACACGAGTGACACGAGAGAGAGGCAGGCCCAGGGAGGAAAAGCAGCTGCGTCCCATGACTGCCACCTGGGGAGCTCCAGAGCAGGGGCTGGCAGGGATAAGACTTTACAGGGTCTCGAGGGCTTCGCTTTGGACCTAGAGTCCTGCCTGCTTGTCCTGACTCCTGGAGCAGGGATGCGTTTTTTTAAAAAACACCTGACTGGGCGTGGCGGCTCATGTCTGTGTAATCCCAGCACTGTGGGAAGCCGAGGCAGGAGGATCTCTTCAGCCCAAGTATTCAAGACTGGCCTGGGCAACATTGTGAAACCTCGTCTCCACAAGAAATGAAAAAATTAGCCAAGTGTGGTGGCGTCCGCCTGGAATCCCAAATACTCAGGAGGCTGAAACAGGAGGCTCATGAGCCGTGATTGTACCACTGCACTCCAGCCTGGGAGACAGAATGAGACCCCACTCAAAAGAAAAACACTCCCCTGCATTCAGAGTATCAGGACCCCGAGCCTTAGCCTATCCCCTCCACAAATGGCCCAGAAAGTCCCTCCTCTACTGACAGAGACATCCTCGTCCTCACATCCTTCTGCCTGGGTGTATTTTTCTAATGAGGGCGCCAAGAAGAATATTGCTGGGTGGCAGCATCTTTAGTTGTGACAAACGTAGCCATGTGTCCCACAGTGAGGGAGAGCGTCTGTGTAAACACACCTCCTCCTTCACTATAAATCTCTCAAGGTTATGGGCAGGGATGGGCTGTCTGAGCCTGGATCCCTGCAGGAGGTGGCCCCAAGGCAGAGATTTCATCACAAGTAGCTTATTTGGGAGGTGACCCCAGGAAGGCCCTGATGAGCAGGGAGGCAGGGTGTGTCAGCAAGCCCGCGGCACCTGGAGCTTGTCACCGCAGGGGCCTCTGCACGATGGGGCAGTGCACACTCTCGAGCTGTCCTAGCCAAAGAGCAGGAGGCCTGGATATGAGTCCCCCAAACCCTGCCATCCATGGCTGAGGGCTGTGCTCCAGACATGTTCAGCCTGCCCCTTGCTTGGGCTGCAGGCCAGAGACAGCCCTGAGGGAGGGTCACAGATGGGCGCTGATGGCACCCACCGCAAGGAGCAGCCTGTGACCTTGTAATCCTGGGCCCTGGCAAAGCACCAGTCTAGATGGGGAGGGGGAGGGATCAGAAGCTGCTAGCTCCAAGCCCCGAGCCCCTGCTGCTGAGCCCCTGCTGCTGAGCCCTGTGCTGCTGTCCCGGCTGGGGGCCCAAGTTTCAGCAAGGCCATAGCACAGGAACCTGGCCCCATGACCACGCCCTAGGGAAAGGGCTGGGTATCTTTGGTTAGTGTTGGTTTACAGGCTTAAAGGGGCCAGAGGTACCAGGGCCAGGAAGGAGGCCTGGGACAGTGGCCTCAGTACAAAGGAAGGAACAGTGAGAGGGTTAATTCTGATCAGATTCATTGCTGGAAACTGACCAGCCTCAGCTCTACCAGGTGGATGCTGCTTGGAGAAGTCCCAGCAAGGAAGGAGGGTGAGGGAGAGGATAGGAGAGCACTGGGAGGCTGGAAGGGGGCTTCCACCCCCCCACTCTCCTCCTCCCCATTTCTAGACCAGCCTCCCTCTGCTCCCCGCACTGCTCCCCCAGGTGCTCCTTGCAGAGGGGCGGGGCCAGGCTGGGGAGCAGATGGCAAAGACTTTTCCCATCCCCAGGGGATCTGCCCCAGCCTCCAAGACACCTTGTTAAGCTGAATGAGCAAAACAACCCACCCAGACCAGAAAGAGGGGGCCGGGGAAGTGGACAGCGGGCTGTGCATGGGAAGGTGCTCAGATAGTCATGGGTATTTCTGGTTGAGCACACAAGAAACTGGTAACAGTGGCTGCCCTGGAGAAGGGGCTGAGTGTCTACTGTGGAAGGAATCCTCCTTGTCATTATTTTCCTTTTCGATTTTTTTTACATGAACATCTGTTTAATTTTGTGAATTAGTTAGTTAAAAAATAACAATAACGAAAGGACTAAAGAGCCAAGTAATTGCAGATCTGACAAGCTAAGACTTGCAGTGGGACCCAAATCAGCTGAGGCTTCTCTGCTCTCAGTTACTCTCTTTTGTGGGCCTCACCCACTTCCCGGCAGTTCACCCCCTCTTAGCTCAGAGTGGCTCAAACATTCATGTGTCCAAGAATCCCCTGGGGAGGTGCCTAGGTGCAGATTCCCGGGCCTGTTTTATAGGACTGGGTTTCACCTGGGACTCTGCAGTTTAAACAAATACTCTGGATAGTTCGTTTTTTTTTGTTGTTGTTTTTTTTTGAGTTGGAGTCTCACTCTATCACCCAGGTTGGTGTGCAGTGGCACAGTCATGGCTCACTGCAGCCTCAGCTGCTTGGGCTCAGGTGATTCTTCCGCCTCAGTCTCCTGAGTAGTTGAAACTATAGGCATGGACTACCATGCCAGTGAATTTTTTTGTGTTTCGCAGAGATGAGGTTTCACTCTTTTGCCCAGGCTGGTCTTGAACTCATGCAATCCTCCTGCCTTGGCCTCCCAAAGTGCTGGGATTGCAGGGATGAGCCACCACACCCGATCTAGGTATTTCTAATAGTTCTATTTTAAGAAACAGGTTAGGGACAGCAGGGGTGGCTGAGAGCGAGTGAAGGCCATTATTGGGGAGCGGCTAGTTCTGCAAGTCTTGCACCTTTTACAGGGAGAGGCCAGGCCAGAAGGGAGACACAAGACACTCAGCCCAGCCGGCCCCCCAGCCTCACAGCTGGGGAAAATCAGTCTGGGTGCCCTTTCGGTGTCTCTGGGACTCTGCGGCTTTGCTCGTGGGCATCTCTCCATCCAGAGCAAGGCCACTCAAGGTGATGCCAGTGCTTACCTCCATTGCACCCCTCCTGCTGTTCTTCCCGCAGGCTGGCAGTCCCCCAGTGGGACCAGCACCTGTCACTCTGTAGAGACTGATGACAGTGCACACCTGTAATTAGACCTAATGGAATAATTTCCAGGCTGGGCAGGCTGACTCCTGTGGCAGGAGATTCATCCTGGCTGGGAGTGCTCCCGTCACACAGGGCCTTTGAATTACCTTGTGACAAGGCTTCAAACACATGAGGGGGAGTAGGTGCTGCCACCAAGCTGGGGAGTGGCCTTGGGAGGGGAAGATCTCTTCTCTGGGAGTTTTTATTTATAACCTGAGTTTGGAGTCTTGTCTCTGCAAATCCCTCCCCAATCCCCGAGGCATGTGGGGGCTTAGAAGCTCCCCAGACTCTGTCTTGAGTGTCAGGAACTGGTTGGGGCAGCAGCTGGCTGCCAGGGCCTTCTTGGGCTGTTAGTTTGGGAAGGAGAGCAGGTCGGGATGGGACTGTGCAGAGCGTGGGACCCAGAAGGCTGCACCTGAGGATTGGGGTGCATGCTGGCTGGATTTGGGACCTGGGGATTCTCTGGGTCTCTGAAACTGTCCCGGAATTAAGAATAGTCACTCAGCGCTGGTGAGTCAGCACTGGCACAATGTCAGATCAGCAGCGTCTTGTCTTGAGAATCAGTTCTGGTGGCCAGGGCCAGCTTCAAGGGGATCAAAGGCTGCTGCTTCCCTGGAACCCTCGAGTGTCAAGGATGTTCCCTTGGCTGGGGGCCCAGGACCAGCCTCCTAAGAGGTGGGGTCCCCAGTAAGCAGGACCCAGCTTGGCCTAATTAGACTTCCTGATACCAAAACACCACCCCCCTCCTGATACCAACACCCCCCACCCCCACCCCCTCGCTGCTGCAAGGAACAAAGGTGGTTGCAGGCTTGAGCAAAATGGTTTGATTTCACCACCTGGGCTAAAGACAGCTGAGTACTGGGGTGGCTGGCAGGAGAATGGCATCATGGGGCAGTGGGCTGGGCCAGGTGAGGGGCCACCAGGTGTGTTGGGGTTGGGAGATCCTGTGAGTCTGGGCTGGGTCATCCCTGTGTCCTGACCACTGCTTCTGCCCAGATCAGTGGTTCCCTTCAAGGTGGCTCTACACTGGACCTGAGAGCGTTAATGGAACAGAAAGGGGTTGGCGGACTAAGAAAAACTGGGGAGGAGGTGGGGGGACCCCCTTATCACATCTTTTCTCTGTTCCCCTTGCTTCTTTGGTCTCAGCTACTTAGTGCATCTGCCCCCAGATTGCTGTTAGATAGTTGACACGTGGTCCCCTTTCTGGGGAGTGAACCTTATGCAGTTCCCTTGTGCCTGGCCTGGACAAGGCACTTTATGAATGTCCTCTCATTCCATCCGCCTGGGAGATGCCCTGTGTTCCTCTGCGTGAATGTTCCACGTCTTGGGCTGCATACAGGCAGAGTTGGGGATGCCTTTTCATTCCAAGACTGTTTCCTGAGCACAGGTGGGCACTGTGCCAGACACCAGGGGTTCGGTGGTGAACAAGCCACGGTCCCCACCCTCAAAGGGCCCATCAGCTGCTTTGAGAGACGGGGAATGAACAGGAAGTGAAACACAGGTGCTCCTTCTATGCTGGGGGAGGTCTGGGACAGTGGTCCTGGAACAGGAGTTGGGTAGGGCTCCTTGGAGGAGATAATGCCTGAGAGGGTGGGTGGGCCCTGGGAAGAGGAGGCATGGTAACCTGGGAGGGGATGAACCATGAGCTTTATGCGAGTACAGTTGGGATGAGGAGCTGGGAGGAATGAGGCTGTGCCACTGGGTCCTGAGCCTGAGTCCCCAAGGGTCACTGGGTTATGCACTGGGAATGAGGGCTCTGAGCAGGTGGAGGGAACAGCTGGATGGGTGTGGTCTGCTTCCTGGTCACAGCACAGGGTGTGAGCGCTGACCAGATCCCGGCCCCCAGTGCTGCGCTTGGCAGGGCCCTCAGCCACTGAAACTCCTCCGCCAACGTGTCCACCCATCTCTCCCACAGGTAGACCCCTACCTACCCTATGAGTACACCTGTGAGGGGATGCTGGAGCGAATCCACGCCTATATCCAGCACCAGGTATGCAAGTCCTCTGTTCTGTGCCCCAGGGATTTGGGACTCCCACTCCATCAGCCTGAAGGAGGGGACCCAAGCTGGCTGCGTCTGCCCAGGGTGCTGCGCCCTCAAGCCATTCAGCTTTCCAGTCTGTCCAGTTTCCTTTCCCAGAGCTCCCTTGGGGCTGGAGATGGGCGGGTCAGAATGTGGCGTGGAAAGCAGCACTGCTCTGGGTGGGCTTGAGAAACCCCTGCCCTGGGCTCACCTTAGAGCCCAGCCCCATGGCACGAACATGAAACCTAGACTTTCATTCTTGTAAAACAGGTGTTTAAGAGTTTGGTAACTTGACTGAGCCAGTGGGAAGGGCAGATCCCCTAGTCACCCACTCCCTAAAGGTGATGGTGAGACTGGGGTGGGGGTGATGATCTCTGCCCTGAAAAACCAGGGGAAGAGGGAAAGGTCACTGTCACGAAGGCCTGGCTTGTCCCCTGCCCCTGAGTGAGTGTCTATGCAGGTCCTGTCCTGCAGATTGTACTCCCTGCTCCTTACAAGGTTGCTCAGGATGCCTGCATGTTGTGGATGAGGGGAGTCCTGGCCTCCCTGCGGCCCCTGGAGCTGACTCCTGTGGCTCTTGGAGCAGACCTTTGCAGGGAGAGCCCCTAGGGCCGGCTCACCACCGTGGGTGGGGCTCAGGGGTCCCAGGGTGGAAACCCAATTTGGACCTAAGTAGCGAGGCAGCACTGGGGTGGACAGCATGCAGGCAGGCCTGAATTCAAATCCTGCCTCTGCCATCCTTGGGAGGTTTCTTGACCTCTGAACCTCCGTTCCTGCCCTGTGAAATATCTGGAGACATACTGGTGGCATTTGGTGGGACTGTTGCAGGGAATAGATGAAACAATGCATGTAAAGCGACCTGGTATTTAGGAAGTGCCAGATGGCGGTGTCTCTTATTGTCACTGCAGGGCCACACCCTCAGGTATCACCCAGGAACCTCTGCCTCCCGTGTCCCCTCCCTAACATTACTCTCCTCCTGCCAGGACTTCTGCGCTGCTCCTGGCCCCATCCCACCTGGGGCCCGCACCCCACGAAGTCCCTTTGTCCTGGCCCCCAATGCCACCCACCTTGAGTGGGCCCGGAACGCCAGCCTGGCCCCTGGGGCCTGGCCCCCCACGCACTCCCTGCGGGCCTGGCTGGCGCCCCCTGGAAGGGCCTGCACTGACACCTGCCTGGACCACGGGCTAATCTGCGAGCCTTCATTCTTCCCCTTCCTCAACAGCCAGGACTCCTTCCTCAAGTGAGTGTGAGCCCCACCCGTTGGGCCCCCTGGATCCGCCGAGGATTTTCACCCCCTGAGCCCCAGGCCGCAGCCTTGCCCCTCAGTAGTTGGGGGATTTAATGTTTTCCAGTGAGGAAGGGACCCTCCAGGCCAGTGTCCAGGTCACGGCTGCCACACTCTTGGCAAAGTCCTAAACCTCCCAGAGAAGCTTCTCCCAGTCCCTGCTCTCCTGCCCCCGCCCCTCAGCCCCCTGCCTGGCCCATTGGGGCATCGTGTGGTCCATACCACAGAAAATGCCCCTGGTGGTCCCCCTACCGGGTCAGCCTGGGACCCCAGCCCCCTCCAGGCCAGCCCTCTCCTCTTCTCCAGGAGTCCTGGGGCGACAGGTGGGAGCAGGAGCAATAACCCACCCTCTTTCCTGGTCTGGGCTGGAGGGTGGGCTAGGGAGGGAGAATGGGCAGTACGAGGCTGGGGTCTGCCCCCGCCACCCCCCGCCTGGGCTTTTAGCCCAAGCAACAAACGCTGCTGACGGTGCTTTGTGGCGCCCTCCAGGCTGCAGGTACCCTGTGATAGCACCGAGTCGGAGATGAACCACCTGTACCCAGCCTTTGCGCAGCCCGGCCAGGAGTGTTACCTGCAGAAGGAGCCCCTACTCTTCAGCTGTGCGGGCTCCAGCACCAAGTACCGCCGGCTCTGCCCCTGCCGCGACTTCCGCAAGGGCCAGGTGGCCTTGTGCCAGAGCTGTCTCTGAGGCCGTCTTGCGACCCTGCCTGGCGCCCATGGTGGGCCCTCCCTGGCTACAGGAGAAAGCACCAGCAGATTCCGGGCTCTGGCCTCGCCCTCCCTGCAGTCCCCCAGGCTGGAGCTGCCTTTCCAGGCCAGGAAGCGGGCAGAGGAGAGCCGTGCAAGAGCAGGAGGAGGGCACCGCATCCCAGCCCCTGGAACCCCCCAGGTGGGATCCTCACGGCAGCACCACGGCCAAGCAGACATTGGGCGGCTCAGAGGGTCCGCCTTGCCCGGGGGCAGGTGGTCTGGCCCCTTGCTGTGTGCAAGTCCGGATCTGGACCAGGTGGAGAAAGGGCCCTCGTCATTCTCAGGCCCAGGACAGGTCTCCTGATTTTCAAGAGAGAGGGAGCAGGGGCCATGCTGCCCGTGGCTCCTGAAGGGTCCGAGGAAGGGCCCTCACACAGCCCTGGACAGCAGGCCCGGGCCGTTCTTGCTCTAGAGGGGGGACCTGGGGGACACCCCTGCTCCTGCAAGGGAGCCATGCACGCAGAGCCAGCCAGCCGTGTCCCTCTGGAGTTGCTGGGGAAGCGGACAGAGGACCAGGGGCCTGGGGACAGGCTAGGCGGAGGGACCCTGTCCATGCCTTTTGGCCCCACCCTTCCCTGTGCCTCACCTTTCCTGGTTTCCTGATTCCCCATACCGTCTCTCCACACACGGGGGCCGGGTCCACTATACCCTGTTTGAATTGTTTCCCTCTCCTGCTTGTTCCAACTCTCTTCGCTTCGGGCTTCTCCCAAAGCCCATCCTGGCATGGCCTGTGCTTCCAGAACCCCTTCAGGGGGCAGGTCTCCACCCTGGCCTCAGAGAACAGACTCTGAAGCCCCGTCCGGGGTGTCCTTCACCCACCAGGCACCTCCGCAGGTGCTGACTCCCCCACCCTCGGCATCTTCTGCAGACCAAGGCTTGGGAGGAAGCTTCAGCCCCTGACACGCCTTGCCTCCTTCCCAGCCGCCCCTCCCACGATCCCCCAGGGATCCGCCACGCCATTCCATATTGCCTGTGTCCTACTTCCTGCTTCCTCCAGCCTCAGATGCACCTGTCCGTCTCTGTGTGGCATGCCTGCCCCGGCCCCAGGAGGCCCCCTGCCCTCCACCCCTCGCCCAGAGCCCTGCCCGACTCGGCGGGCCGGGCCTTCAGAAACACTGCCACCCCACCCCGTTTTCTAGTCCTGCTCCCCCACCAACCCAGGCCTGCTCCTCCGCCCCCCCAGGGAGGCAGCCCCAGGACGCCAAGAGTTGGTGGAGGGGGCCAGGCCCCCTGTGGGGCCCAAGGGGGATGCTTTCCGCTGGGAGTCCCCTTCAGGCCTATCATCCCCTGGGGCCACAGAAACCATGACAGGAGCAACTCAGTGGTTCCCAAGGACTGACCTGTGAGGGAAAGCAATAGAGACACTCTTTTCTCTCTCTCTTTTTTAAAGATTTATTTCTTGAAATAATAAATATTTTATTGGGATGTGAGATGTGGAAGAGGTGCCGTGCTGTTTCTCATGCTTTCCCGGGACACCTGGGGCTCACCCAGGGCGGGAGAGGGTGGGTAGTTGGGATCCCCAGATTCTGCTTCACATCGCTGGAGACACCTTGCCCAAAGGAAGTACCTGCCGGTGTCCGATCTGTGGTCATCTCCTGGCTTCCTGGAGCTGTGACTCCAGGGACCCTGACAAACAGTCATACCCAGCCTTGTTCACACCTCAGGCTGGCCTCTGCCAGCTCCAACGGGCTGCAGCTGTGTGAGATCAGAGAACACAAATCCGTTTTGATAAGAGTCTGAGCCCATAATGAGAAGAAGACAGCTGATGTTAACACATTTACTGGCCGTAGGCACTGAACTGAGAGTCTGTTGCAAATGTGAGTTGCCATTTTCTGCACTCAGCCATCTTATCAGGTGAGTACTATTACATTTCCATTTTACACTTGGGAGGCACAGAGAGTTTAAGCAACTTGCCTAAGGTCATACAGCTTGTAAGCAGGGAGGTGGAATCTGCTATCAAATAGAGACAGTTTCAAAGTTGCTGTGAGGAGCAAATGACCCAATAGAGTGACAACCTAGCATGGTGTCTCAGGTCCAGTCTGTGCTCGCGGTTTGATGTGATCTTGTATTTGAGATGCTCCACGGTCAGGGCCTTCCCCTATGGTCGAGGGTTCTCAACTAGAGCTGATTTTGCTCCCCAGAGGACAACTATCACTGTCCAGAGACATTTTTGGTTGCCCCAACTTGGGGCGGTGGGGGTGGCATGCTCTTGGCCTCCTCTGGGCAGAGGCCAGGGATACTGTCACCATCCTACAATACCCAGGACAGCCCCACTCCACAGAGCCATCTGGCCCTAAGCGACCACAGAGCCCAGGATAATAAGCTCTGTTCAGCCGGGCTCGGTGGCTCAGCCTGTAATCCTGCGCCTTTGGGAGGCTGAGGTGAGTGGATTGCCTGAGCCTGCGGGTTCGAGACCCGCCTGGGCAGCGAGACCTCATCTCTACAATAAAATAAAAAATGAGCCAGGCGTGGTAGTGCACGCCTGTAGTTCCAGCTACTCGGAAGGCTGAGGCGGAAGGATCGCCGGAGCCCAGCAGGTCGAGGCTGTGGTGGCCGGGAGCGGCCACTGCACTCCAGTCTGGGTGACAGAGTGAGACTCCAACTCAAAAAAAAAAAATAAAGCCCTGTTCTAGGCCAGTGGTTCTCAAATGCTGGCACACATCAGAATCCCTGGATTCTGAGCTTACTGAAACACAGATTGCAGGAGGTCTGGGGTAGGGCCCTGGATTTTAAGTCCTTAATAAACTCTAGGTGTTGCTGCTGGGTCAGGGCTCCCACTTCGCCAACCGCTGGAAGGCCAGGTAGGTACCAGCAGGTATTTCAAATGCAAGAGTGTCAGTCACTGGGTACTGCCTGTTTGTAATTGATTACATTTGCGGAGAACATCGACTGATGTCATTTTTTTCTGTTCTGGCATATAATGCCAGGTGAGAGACCTCGTACCACCACTTCTGCCTACAGGGATCAACGCCATGGGCCACCAGCACTGGCCGGGCCACTGGAAATCATCCTGTCCCTCCATTTTACAGATGGAGGCCTAGAGAGACGAGGAGCCTTGTCCCATCACACAGGTGGATAGAGTCCACCAGGACCTCTCCGTCTCTGTCTCCATCTCTCTGCTGTGCTGCCTAAAATAGGTTGAGAAAAAAACCTCTGAGCCATGTATTTTCCATGATCATGTCCAGCAGAACGGGGGAGAGGCCTTCTTTTGAGAACTGAGCCTACTTTTTTTTTTTTGAGCTGGAGTCTCACTCTGTGGCCTAGGCCGGAGTGCAGTGATGTGCTCACGGCCACCGCCGCCTCAACCTGCTGGACTCAGGTGATCCTTCCGCCTCAGTCTTCCAAGTAGCTGGGACTACAGGTGCACACCATCACACCCAGCTCATTTTTTGATTTTATGGTAGAGACGAGGTCTTGCCGAGTTTCCCAGGCTGGTCTCAAACCTGTGGGCTCAGGCAGTCCTCTCGCCTCGGCCTCCCATAGTGCTGGGATTGTAGGCTTGAGCCACGGCCCCCAGACTTACTTTCTTTTTTTAACAGACTACTCATTTGAACAGTTTTAGGTTCACAGCAATACTGAGTGGAAGTGACAGAGACTTCCTGTATGCCCATCCCACGCACGCACAGGGCCCTGCCACTGTCCACATCCCCTACCAGAATGGCACATGTGTTGCAGTCTATGGACCTACACTGACACCCAGGATCCATAGTTGACATGAGGGCTCACTCTTGGTGTGTCTCCTGTGTGTTTCGACAGATACAGTGTCCTGTATCTGCCATGACGGTTCCACACAGAGTAATTTCACTGCCCTACAAATTCTCCATGCCCGCCTGTTCATTCCTTCCTCCTCCTAACCCTCAGCACCCCTGACCTTGTGACTGTCTCTGTAGTTTTTGCTTTTTGCGGAACATCAAAGAGTTGGAATCATACAGTCTGTAGCCTTTTCAGACCCGAGTGGCTCCTCTCACTTGGCAATATGCATTTAAGATTCCTCCTCATCTTTTCATGGTTTGATAGCTTGTTTCTTTTTAGCACTGAATAGTATTCCATTATCTGGAGAGAGACCACAATTTGTTTACCCATTCACCTACTGAGGGACATCTCGGTAGCTTTCAAGTTTTGGCAGTTATGAATAAAGCTGCTATTTACATTCATGTACAAGTTTTGGTTTTTTTTTGAGTTGGAGTCTCACTCTGTCGCCCAGACTGGAGTGCAGCGGCCGCTCCCGGCCACCGCGGCCTCGACCTGCTGGGCTCCGGCGATCCTTCCGCCTCAGGCTTCCGAGTAGCCGGAATTACAGGCAGGCACTACCACGCCCGGCTGATTTTTGGATTTATTGCAGAGATGAGGTCTCGCTGCCCAGGCGGGTCTCAAACCCGCGGGCTCAGGCAATCTACTCACCTCAGCCTCCCAAAGGCGCGGGATTACAGGCTGAGCCACCGAGCCTGGCTCATGTACAAGTTTTTGTGTGGACATACATTTTAAACTCACTTGGGTACATACCACAGAGCCTGATGGCGGGATCGTGTGGTAAGAGCACGCTTCATAGCTTAAGAAACGGCCAAGCTGTCTTCCAAAGCGCCCGCACCGTTTTGCATCACCCCAGCAGTGAATGAGAACTCCTGTGGCTCCACGTCCTCACCAGCATTTGGTGTTGTCAGTGTTCTGGATTCTGGTCATTCTAATAGTGCATAGTGGTATCTTATTGTTATTTTAAGTTGCATTTGCCTAATGTGCATCCTTCCATCTGCTTAATTGCCATCTGTGCATCTTTGGTGAGGTGTCTGTTCAGTTCTTGTGCCCATTTTTAAATTGGGTTGTTTTCTTATGGTTGAGTTTGTTTTTGCTTTTTTTAAAATGGTGCTTTATTTTTTATTTATTTTCAAAACTTAAAAAAAATTTATGATGAAGATGTGGGGTACAATTCAGGGTTAGGTATATGAACATTGATCACGCAGGTACCCTTGTTGATGGGTATGCCCCTCCCTTCCCCAGCAGTTTCCCTCAACTGCCATATTTTAAGAGGTCTTTGTCTACCTACTTTTGAATTCCTGTCTTAACCTTTGGGTGGGTGGGGATGAAGCTGGAGGGGCTGGCTGGCCGCAGGGGAAGAGGAGTTGGAGATTGGAAAGAACTCACAGCCCGGGTCCAAGATCGGATGCCAGTCGTGGAAGGAGAGCTGCAGGCTCCCTAAACCCCCAGGCTGGCCACCCCTTTTCAGCCCCGGTCCACCTCTGAACAGTGGTGGAAATAGCAGGGTGGGGCTGGCCTCACCTCCAAGCTGCCAGGTGACTTCCCCTCCCCATTTACAGGTGAGGAAGCCCCTCTCCAGCCTGTGGAATCGCCAGGGAGCCAATAAACCTCAAATCTCTGAGCGGGGTCTGGCATCAGAGAGTTTTTATAAAACACTCCTCTGTGTGTCTATTATTCATTTAATGTGGACCACTCCACTCATGCATCATGCCTGAATGGCTCTGATGCTGGGTGGGGTGCAGTGTGTTGCTCCGTGGGTTTTTCGACTTCACCACAGAAAGGAATTTCAGAGCAAGTCCAAAGCATAGTTTAAGACAGAATTTATTAGGGAAAAAAAGCACATTCAAGAAAGAACATGGGTGCCTTAAGAGAAAGGGCATGAGCTTGCCTTTGACAAGAAGTTTTATATAATTTTACAATGATGATTAAGCAAACTATTCCATGAGCTAAGAGCAGAGGGCTGCAGGTAGCTGGTCATAAGTTTTGATTACCATCTCACAACCTTTTAAAGCCAAAAGAACCTTCTAAATAATGAAACTTACTGTCTAACTACATTTGGGTTTTTCTTAGAACAGCATGTCTGTGTTTTGGGTAATTCCCTATTGTTTTTGTGATTTACTGCACTGGTCATTTCACATTCCAACCCACAACGTGGTCAGGTCTGGTTTGCCTGGCCAGTCAGGTGAAGGTTATATACAGATAAGAAAGACATCCAAACACTCACCCTGTTCCTCTGTTATCTAGATTAGACCTACCTAAGAAAACTTGCCTTACTACATCTAAAGTATGTGCCATGCCGACTATGCCAGCCTCAGTTTCTCCCAGCTCCCCTCCTGGCTTTTCTGTCAGAGGGGCGGGAAGAGGCTGAGGACCACCTGGAGGAGGCCACATTTGAAGCCTTGGCCCCTAGCCCCTGCCTCTGGGCTAGAAACAGCCTCTCCCTGCAGCCCAGGGCCCATGGGGCTGTTCCTGCAGATGAAAAGGCCTTGGGTTCAGCTGGGCCTGGGGCAACGAATGCAAATGAGACTTAGCTGGCTCCAAGACAGAATCCCCAAGTTCAAGGGTAGCCGAAATAGAACAAGTGGGAGGCTGTTAACCAACCCTATCTCCAGAGTCAGGGATGCCGGAGGACAGCATCGGGACAGGTCTCCTGAGGTCTCCGCAGGCCTGTGGGAGCCC